CCCCCTGCAATATCGACTGAGCAGCGTAAGGGTGGAGGGCAGTGGATCTGATGGCAAACAGGCAAGTGACTAGGCTGGCCATTACGCTTAAAGTATCTGAAATGTGAAGAGCAAGTCAAGGTCAAATTAGAACATTAACCTATTAAGCTAACATAACTTAATTCATCCAAATGTTAAAGGTAGGAACTTTGTGATAAAAGAAAAAATAATGGTACTTATCATTATTATAAACTACCATCTCAAGGAACTCTAGCATAAGACAAAGGTATTTAGAGTCAGAGAACATGATGGAAGAATAGACATTTAGAGATCAAAATCCAAGGTAAAGAACTTGAGTTAACAATAATATCTACCATACATAATCTCTGCTTCCTACGTCACCAATAAAAGGTAATATTATTCTTCTTACTTTAGAAATGCAAAGTCTGCAAAGACACCGACTAGCTTGCCAAAGATGTCTCTACTAGTTAGCAGCAAAACTCTCTGACTCTAAAGATCACGCTCTTTTCACAGTTAGGGTAAAGTGACTTGTCTAAGATCACCTAGCTGGTAGTCAATTGTAGAACATTATTCATAGATTCCACCTTCTAACTCAGCAGGGTAGCTCAGAAATCAATTCTCTCTGTGTCCCTAGAGTCCAGTCACTTCCAAGAGTCTGTGTTATTGATCTTCTACTATCACCACTTGAACCCACTCCAATCAGATTTTGCTCCTACGGTTCCATGGGGAAACTTCGATTAATCTGCAGCATTTGACACAGTTGACCACCCGCTCCTTCTTAGAACACCTTCTTCCTTTGTCTTCAGGACAACGCACAGTATATCCATTTTCCTCCTACCTTGTGGGGGCTCCTTCCCAGCCTCCTTTCTGGCTCCTCCTTCTCTTCCAGACCTCCATATATTGCTGTTTCCAAGGGCTCTGTCTTTGTATCTCTTCTTTATTTACATACATACTCCCTTCTGGACTTCATGTATTCTCATGGCAGTAAATAGTCATACTATATATGTACTTTTAAAAAAATCCTTTTGTTTTTAAGCACTGATTTTACAAAATGTGGTATAAAGGTGAACCTCATTTAGAATTTGTTCACATAAGTGGCCTTCAAGATATATTATGGCTAAGATGTTTTACGTGCATTTTGGAAGAAATTGCAAAGGACCCGCTTTACATCTTTTAGGTCAGTCCGTTGCCATTGTGCTAGATGAGAGTTATCTGGATCTTATTGTACACATTCAACTGTTCTGGGTGATGACATGTCTTCTCTGTTTGTAGGACAACTGAAGACATGAGTCCTGTTTAACAGGTAAAGGTAAACTGAGACAAAGCAAAATTTTAGGGTTTATTTGAGTAAACAGCAATTCATGAAGTGGACAGCTCCAAACCAAGTGTTTCAGGGGCTCCACTGAAGAAGCATTAGGGACAAGCTTTTATAGAGTGAACGTGGAAGTGATATAAAGAAAATATTTGATTGGTTACAGTTATAAAGTGGCCCTATTTGGTCTGTCCCCCTGGAAAGTCCTTAGTTATATAATTGTGTTTATTGGCTGCTTCTGATTGCCAATCAACTGCTAATCGGTTGAGCTTAAGTTTTGCTTCTCTTTAATCCAGGCATTTACAAGAAACAGCACAAGTTAAGTTTCATTTATGTTTCCAAATTAAGCAAGGTTAAGGTCACTTACAGGCCTGACTGGTTTTGTCTGTTCAGGGATTCTTCAGCCCTGATTTCCATTTTAATTTGCGTTAACAGGCCAAAGTCCCGATTAAAATTTTTGAACAGCTCGTTGTAGATGGCTTTTTTCTCACTTAATTTTGACCATCCTGCTGCCTTAAAGATCAAGTGTAAATTTGGTTCCTCTACTCTGCTGCCAACCAGTGGGCATCTGCTGACCCCGCCGAGGGCTGCCCAGAACACTGTACCCAATGTGCCTCTAACTCCCAGAGTTATGGCTGCAGCCAGACCTCTCTAACATTGAGTAGTGCATATAAAACTCCTGAAACTCCTGTATCTGTCTATTCAGCACCGTCAGCACCTTCACTTGGAAACCTAATGGGAATCTCAAGCTTCCTAGGTGCAAAACTGAACTCGTTTTCTCTTCCAAACCTGTCCTTCCAACATCGTCCATAGATCAGTAAACAGCAGCTCCATTTTCCCAGCCGCTCAGCCCACAAATCCTAGTGCCATTCTTGACTCTTCTCTTTCTTTCCTATTCCATATCCAACAAATCGCACTGGCTCCACCTTCTAGATAAGTGTAGAATCTGATGTCTTCTCAACACCAGCACCCTTAGAAAGGCACTATCATCTGTCAACTGCCTTATTTCATTAACTTCCTGACTGAAACATTGCTTCCACTCTTGCCTTCTAAAATTGAAGGCAGAGTAAACCAGTTTTCTGCTAAAACTGTCCAATGGCTTCCCATCTCATTTAAAGTCAAAACCAAAGTCCCTACGTTGGCCTTCAGGCTGGGCATGGTCTGTCTGGTGACTTCTCTGTCCTCATCTCTGTCTGCACTCCCTTACTCACCCTGCTCCAGCCTCGCTGGCTGCCTTACTATCCCTACAGAACCCCAGGCATGTGCTCACCTCAGGGCCTTGGTATGTGCCATTTCCTTTTCTAAGAGAGCACTTTGCTCACATTTCCACATGACTCACTCCCTCCTCTCCTTCTTGTTTCAAAATGTCACTTCTCAGTGAGGCCTTCACTGGCCACCTGTCTCAGGTTGCATCCTTATCCTCTAGGAGCATCCTCTAGGAGCAACGTCTATCACCTCTATGGTGATAGAGGTTGGCACGCAGGGTATTTATTAGGGATCAATACTCGTGAAGGGAGGGGGAGATAACAGGATTAGACAGGAGAAGTCAGTCATAATATAGTCCTGACAATGCCTTGTCCAATCCAGGAGAGAGTTTTGGAGCAAGTACTGCTCATCAGTAAGTCCTGATGATCAGGCCTTTATATTCTTGTCTTGTTCAGTCACTGGATACGGTCTTCCCTGTGAAGGGCATGACTGAAGCATGGTGGTTCTTAGCAGCTGAGGCAGACCCCGAGTGAAGGAGCTGAAGGCTAGAGACTGGCGGCTCACCACTCTTCTTCCCTGAAGGTGGATCTGTGCAGCGTGTCTCTGCACGTACCATACCATTCTGTTTAAAATTGCAACATTACTTATAGTCCCTATCGCCCTTCCCTGTTTTACTTTCTCTATAGCATTTAACTTCTAATATACTATATTATTTATTTATTTATTTTGCTTTATTATCTGGCTCCTTCACTGGAATGTAAGTTCTAACAGTAGAGGGATTGCCTCTCTCGAGCACTTCCGCACGTAGAATGGCACCTGGCTCATAGCAGGCACTCAAGAAATTTTTGTTCATTAAACAGAGTTGTTCAGTAGCCTGCCTAGTCATTATACCATACAAGCCCTGGAAGAACCATGTCTTATTCAACATGCCAGGATATGGCACATAGTAGGTATACAATACATGTTTGTAGACTATATGAATAATTAAATCTGTGAATGTATGTTATTAACTTCATTATAAGATGTGCTAGCACAGCACTCACTGTCAGGTAGAAATATCATGTGAGCCATATCTGCAATTTAAAATTTTTATTAGCCACATTAAAAAATAAGAAGAAACAGGTCATATTAATTTTAATGGTATCTTATTTAACTTAATATATCCAAAATAGTATCATTTCAACATGTAACCAATATAAAATTATTAATGAAATATCTTCTATCCTTTTTGTTTTGTACGAAGTCTTTAAAATCCAGTACATATTTTCCGCTTATACCACATCTCAATTTGGATCAGCCACATTTCAAGTGCTCCATGTGGACAGTACAGTTCTAATGCAATTCTACAATTAAGGCATCAGAATAATATATTGGGGGGCTGGTTGGAAAGGAGAGATCTCCGGAGTCATTGATTTCCTGGGTCCTAATTGTGGCTTACTAGCTGTCAATGTCCTCCAGCCAAAACCACCAGGAACACACCTGTAGTTGAAAAAGTGGCTTGATTGTTGGAAGGAGAAGGCACACCACAGGGAACTGTGGGGCATCTGGGTAAGAAGATGTTACAGTGGATTTATTATAGGATTTGAGCCAGTGTTAGGTGATTTGGGAAAGTTTAAGGAAGAGGGGATCCCTTCTGTACTGGATGTGTCAGGAAGTGGGTATCATTCTAAGGTTGGATATGTTAATAAATCTTATCTAGATGGAGGAAGACTAGGTAGAGGCTAACATAATTGGTAAAGAAATAAGCGTTACTCAGATTAGCCAGGATAGGGGGATGTTGGTCATTTTTGTGGTTTGTACAACGTTCATTTTTGGCTGTGTTCAGACATGATTATGGAGTGGTCTTGTCTGATGTTTATGTTTATGCAGCCTTCTCCTAGCAACACCAAGGCCTGGCTGAAAACACCAGGCCAGTTTGTGGAGAGCAAGGGCTCATAGCTATGCAACCTTGAGCTAGCAACTGAACTCAGTAGTTGTTTTCTCATCTCTAGAATGGGAATACAAGAGCACCTATTTCTTCATCTCATAAGGTTATCAGTATTAAATGAAATAACCTATGCAAGGAAAGTGGGTGGGAGAGTGCCTGGTACACAGTTGCCGCTCAGTGGGTGTCATCTCCTGTAGTTCAAAGATTCCAAGGTGACTATATTTTTTCCCATTTTAACATTTCTGAAATTAGGGTGTGTCTTTCAACAATGGCTTCTTAGAATGGAGTGTAGCAGCAGTAGTAATATTTCTAAGGGTTCTGAAGGCTCTGGTTTGGGGGACTATTCCACCAACTGCTCTCCAACTTGCTCAATCCATTCCTGGGTGGAGGACTTTACTTTTTGCCTTCATCCCCATCTCTGGGCGGGCGCCCTCTGTCGTCCTCTGCCGGCCCCAGAGTTTCAGCGTGCGCGGCTTCCCCAGGCAATACGGGCGGGGCGGCGGCAGCACTCGGGAGCTTACGGCGGCGCGGCGCCCACGCGGCCGGGCCGCTGGGGGGAAACCGGCGCGTCCCCGCCCGCCCGGCCGTCAGCTGATGGGCCGCCAGCCCGGGAGGCCGCCGCCGCCGCCGCCGCCGCCGCCGCGCGAACATGGCGGCCGAGATCCACTCCAGGCCGCAGAGCAGCCGCCCGGTGCTGCTGAGCAAGATCGAGGGGCACCAGGACGCCGTCACTGCCGCGCTGCTCATTCCCAAGGAGGACGGCGTGATCACGGCCAGCGAGGACAGGTAGGGCCGGCAGGTCGTACTTGAGGCCGAGGCACAGCGGGGGCGGCCCGCGTCCAAGTCGATCGGGTCTGGGGGCGGTGGGGTCCGCGGCCCCGGCCCTTCCGCGCCGGGATATGGGGGGGCGTCCCCGGGATGCGCGGCCCGACGGCCCCGCCGCGCGCCTTCTGTCCGCTGAGCTCCCCGATCCAGCCCGTGGGTCTTCCAGTCTCGACCCCAGCCGCACCTCTCCGGCCCGGGACCCCGTCCCCACTGGGCCCCTCCAGCCCGGGACCATCGTCCCAGCCGCGTCCCTGCAGCCGGGACCCCATCCCGCCGCTCCCTTCCAGCCCGGGACGGTCGCCCCACCGCGCCCCTGTAGCCCCGGACCCTGTCCCCTCCGAGCCCTTCCAGTCGGGGACCTTCGCCCGGGTATCTCCTTTGCGGATTTCTTCTGGCGCTCAGGTGTTTCTTGACCCTCCTCTCCGGGCCGGTTCCAAGTCGTCTTCTCTGGAAGCCCCGAGGACTGGCGGCTGGTCACCGCCGGTCCTGGTACCCAGGATTTCCCCCTTGCAGGGAACCTCCGGGGTCTTTCGCTGTCTTCCTTCCCGTTTTTTCAGGGGTTTGCACCTCTCTTTCGCACAACACTGGGCCTCTGGATCAGTTATTTTTGCCACAGCTGTTAGAACCGCCTGAACTCTTACTTACTAGATTTCTGGAAAAGCGACTCATTTTTAAAAAAGACTTAGATGCGTTTATTTTAAAAGGAAATTGTATTTCTGTCTCCACCATTAGGAAAACTAACATTATCTACCATAAACTAATAACTAAAACATGTTAATCTGTGTTCACATAAAGTCTTCTCTTGCACTAAGACGCCTTGCATTGGAAGTCCACCGAACTTTGGGAAACACTCATTTGGTCCAGTGTTCTCATTTTACCCAAGAGGAAACTGAGGCTGGTGGAGGTGAAGCTACTTGAAGTCCCAGAGACACTGGTGCAAACCGGAACTGCCCACCCACTCTCTGGTCTTCCAGGGCTGTGTAATTGGATTGAAGCAATATTGTTTTAAAACTTTAGAATCTTTAAAACCCTGAAGGTTTAAAAGTTAATACCTTTCCGGTGGGAATTTGAAGGAAATGACTGATGTTTATTGAGTGGAACTGTGTTTCGTTGGTACCATGAGTAGTCTTAAATAGGGTTTGTGGAAGTTGGAAGGGTCTGCTGTTCTCTTGAAGCTGAAGGCATAGTCCAGCCTTTTGTAGTCATGCCTTTTGAAGCAAGTAACACTGAGAGCCTGTCTTGAATGGGAAAAGAAAACCTGAAGCCCCCCAGCTCCTGGTTGACCTTTGGATTTTACTTCTGAGTGAACTTATGCCTTTTCCCTCTATCAGGTAATGAGCTTATTGTGAGCAGCCAGTGGCCTGTCCCTGCCGCTTGACATGTAGGTGACCTCAAACAAGGTGGGGAGTGATCGGTAGGACTTGGACCTGGGTGTGTGAAGCAGGAAGGGAGTGGGAGAGACAGGAGTGCCTGAGACTTAGGAAGAAGATGGCAGTGTCAAAAAGGCAAAGGACAGGCCGGGCACGGTGGCTCACGTCTGTAATCCTAGCACTCTGAGAGGCCGAGGCGGGTGGATTGCTCAAGGTCAGGAGTTCGAGACCAGCCTGAGCAAGAGCGAGACCCCCGTCTGTACTAAAAAATAGAAAGAAATGATTTGGACAACTAAAAATATATAGAAAAAATTAGCCGGGCATGGTGGCACATGCCTGTAGTCCCAGCTACTCAGGAGGCTGAGGCAGAAG